ATACCGAAATGCAGAAAGCAGCTTTGGCGTATCGTATAAAAATGATCACGCTGGTGGCCACTATGTGCTCTGTGGGTGAGTATGTATGTACATACATGCATACATACGTAAAGATACAAATCCTATGCGCCCTTGGCGTTGCTCATTGCTACAAAGTTCCACCATTGCACTATGGGCCAGCAAACGATAAAAAGTGGTCAATATTCGAAATCTTATCGGAATGGCTTAAAACTTGCTACAGGGGGTTTTTGTGGACGCTGATTACGAATTTGAAGTTAGATTTTAAAAACTCAAAATGGCGGATCCAATATGGCGGATAATATTGCGTAAAGTAATCGGATTGGCTTGAAACTACTACTCCATGAAATTTGGGCTCACTGATTACGAATTTGAAGTTAGATTTAAAAAACTCGAAACGGCTTAGTCAGCCTACATAAAATGAAGTTGCCGAAGCCCACCAGCAGGAGGCTACACTACAAATGTAGATTTAATTTTTAAATTTTTTTTTGCTTTTGTTTTTATTTCTATAGTTTTTTTTACCAATTACGAATGTAGACTTCACGGTTTTTTTGATTTTTTATATTTCGCTTTTTTTTTATATACATATATATATTTTTGCGAATTAGAAACTTAGTCTTCGCTTTTCATTTTTATTTTTTGTAGTTTTATTTACTTTTGTTTATATTTTTTTATATATATGTTCATTTTTTTTTACCAATTACCAATTCAGGCCTCTTTATTTCTTTTTGTATTTTCCATTTCTTTGTTTTTTATAATCTTTATTTTTTTCCAATTAAAAATTTAGACTTAGTTTTGTATTTTGGTTGTATGTTATTTGCTTTTGTTTTTCTTAACTTTTCAATTCATTAAAAAAAAAAAAAAAAAAAAAAATTTTAAATTTCAGTTTTTAAATAAAAAAATTAAAGTGTGGACGTATCGTCAGTTATGTTCATCATCTCGGAACTTATCTCAGCAAATCATAAAACTAAAAATTTGGAATTAATTTTCAATGGGTAGTGATAAACACTTACGGCGAAGAGGATGAAAAAGAAAAAAAAACTCAAAATGTGCAAAATTGAGCAAATTCATCTTAAAGTACATTTAATGCATAGTAGATTTCATGTTTTGTTTTTGTGTTGTGCGATGATACACAGGAGTACTGCTAAACGCCAACGAGCACAATTCATAAAAATTAACGCCTGGCTCAATAAAGATGTCGAATTATTTTAAGCAAAGGCTATTTTTAATTATGGTTTTCTATTTTTTTATATTACTGTATCTTATTAACAAGAAAGAAAAGACAAAAGGAAAATATTTATTACTCTCTGCGAAAAAATTTAATTTTACTATACACCGGACATATAAATTTAAAATACAATTATTTTAATCAAAATGAAATGGTGACCACAATATTAGGGAAATTGCTGTAATATTTCGCTAACAATTACCTTAAATACTTTATATTTTGGCTATTAGCATAAAAAAATTAAAATTCTAAATTTGACCTTTGGCCATTTTTGAGTGCCTACTGGCCCTCTGTGCATTGAGTTGTGTTACTTTACCACTTTTCTGCTAACTACGTTTCCCTTCTGTTTGACTTTTGTTACGCAGTGGAGCATTTGCTGAGCATGTTGGGTATTATCTATTATGTAAACGCGTGTCCAGCCATGCCGGGACATCCCATTCAGAGTTTCCTCTACTCAAATTGGTCGCAGTTTTTTGTTTACTTCGACTACACCAACCTGGCGGGCATCTTTGGCAAAGTCTTGAATGTGATATCGACATTCGCGTGGAATTTCAATGATATCTTCGTGATGGCGGTGAGCGTGGCGCTGTCGGCACGTTTTCGCCAACTCAACGAACATATGTTGCGTGCTGCCAAGCGGGTAAGTCGTCAAGTTGCTTGCTAAATTACTTCTATTGGCAAAATATTTTTATTATGCTGTTGAAAATTCGCTTTAATTTTTCACTTTCATCTTTTGATTAGAGTGTAAGTTACCCATATTTTTCACTGCTTTTTTTACTTTCACCTTTCACTTGTTTCTTAAGTGGCGCATATTTAAAAATATTTATGTCTAACTAGCACTTGTATGGTCTTTCTTGTTTTCATGGCAGCCAACCACGCAGAAATTTTGGATGGAAAGTCGCATAAATTATCGCAATTTATGTAAACTATGCGAAGCTACAGATGACACCATTTCCGTTATTACGCTATTATGTTTTTCCAACAACTTATTTTTTATATGCGGAAAAATTCTTAAGAGCCTACAGTGAGTATTAGTAAGCTAACATTGTAATTCCTTATTCTGAGTACGGGTATTGAAGCACTAAAATCATTTGTCGATTTGAGCCGTGACAAAGAAATTAAGCCAATTGTCTCCCTCCTTTCGAAAGCAGTCAGGTAGTACTTCCGAACATGGCCTGTTCATTGTGTTCGCGGGCGCCCTTGCCTTCGTTATCCAACCATTGGTGCCGGGGCGAGAGATCCTTTTCATTCCATCTTCTTCGGCACTCGTTACCTGGGCGAACAAGGCGAAAGATCTTACTTTGAATTGTCTTCTCAAAAGCTCTCAAGGTTCTCTCACATATTGGTCGAATCCTCATCCAAGTTTCTGCGCCATATAAGAGGCATTACAAGCATTTTGTAGAGCGCAATTTTTGTTCGTACAGAAAGGGCTCCTGCTTTTATTTGCCTACCGACTGCAAAGCAGGTCTTATTGACATGAGCTATTCATTATGTTTCACTTGGTATCCAGCCAGACATTGTCGTTGGTGGTTGTGCTGGACACAAGATAGGGAAAGTCCTCACTACTTCCAAGTTATAACTGCCAACAGCAACGTGTGTCCCAATATGCGAGGTATCTTTACGTGTTGCCAGTAGGTACTTTGTCTGGTTCTCGTTCATCGCTAGACCAGCTTGTTTTTCTAAGCTGGAAAATGTTGCGCTTACGTCCCTGAGTTTCAGGCCGACCATGTCGACATCATCTGCATCGTCCTTTTCTGACAACGCTTTCAAACTTGTTCATCATCTGTTACGAATTCCTCAATATCTTATTCGAATGCCTCTGTAAATTAAGGGGCTTATCCACCCAACTCTTGTATCGGATCTACGTGTGCTTCATAACGCTTATAAAATGCTCTTTATAAAGATGTACAGATACCCGCAGCTGCACTAAACAATTNCTTGATGCGCACACTAATGCTTTCGTTGTACAGCGCCGAAATTAATGATGAATCGCGACGGCCGCTGGTGGTTTTTCGTGGTATTTCGAGTGAATATTGGTGCCCTGAGGTGAGTTGGAATTAACTTAGAAAAATTTTTAATGATTGGCTAGTTATTAAGTTAAGATTTTAACAGTTCCAAGTAGAGCTAAAAAGAGGCGTCTTAAAAACTGTAAGTTAAAAAGACTAAGCAAGGTCATTCAACTAAAGCTATTTATAGGGTGTTTGATTATTTGCTTTTTCGGAAAACGGTAGTTTGAAAAAAACGCGATTTGAAAAAAAAAACGATTCCTCATAGTATTATAAAATATACTTCATTTTATAAACAACACCATACAAATCCACATTTCAAACTTTGTGGAAAAATTATAAAAATTCAGCGCATTTTTACTAACATTTTACACCTTTTTTTAGATAATTTTTTAAAAAGTTTTGCAGTTTTATAGCCCAAGCAATTTTACTATAATAAAGTGCGAGTTTCATATGGCTACTAAATACCGTTGATTTTTGTAAATTTTTTTGTTGACGCTATTACTCATTTTCTTCCAAAAAAAGTATGTTCGCAAATTTTTTTACATGGAAGAAAATGAACAACAGCGTCAACAAACGTATGGGCTATAAAACTGCATACGCAAAACTTTTCTAAAAATTCTTTTAAAAAATGTAAAATTTTGGTGAATATTCTCTAAATTTTTATAAATTTTGCACAAAGTTTGAAATGTGGATTAGTATAGTGTTCGTTATAGAATGAACTATATGTTTATAAGAAAATAATAAAAATTAAATAATATGAAAATAAATAGTCAAAACTTGTTAATATGTGACGGTTCAAAAATTATGAAACGGAGTGTAGCTCATTCCCTTACCAATATCATATAAACCCAAATATAAAACTTTATAGAACACTGAAACAAATTTTATAAAACTTTCATCCAAATTTAAAACTTTTTTCTCAGAAGTGCCTAAAATTTTTTGAGTATAAAGTCCTTTTAATTTTAGTAATAATGTGCAATTTTAATTTTCCAGGAACTACCGCTGATTTTTTAGATTTTTTTTGCGCACATTTACCTCCAAATAACAGATGAACACAATTTATTTTCAAATGGAATAAAACCACAAACACCGACGGTAAAATAAAATCTAAGAAATTAATGGTAATTTTCATCTAAGATTTAATGAACTATAAAACTTTATACTGTGGGTCAAATGAAACAAATTTTGAGGGATGCGTATCGAATTTCGCAAAAAAAACATTTCGAAAGCCCCCTAATGAAGATACATACGAGTATGTACATACATATGCATCGTTAACTTAGAGCAATATCATACAAGTAGCTATGGTAAAAGATAGTTCTAGCCATCATAGGCAATAAGCATTTATTAATGTGTATACAAGCGTGTCAAATTTGTTGTTCTAATGCAACGGCTGCCGTTTGCATCAACTACATAACATAAAAAAAAAAATTAAACAAAAATAAAACAAACAGAAAATTTATATGATTAACGTTTTAAAAATAAATACGCAAAAAATTATTATTATTATTTTTTTGCCTTAAAAGCATACGTAATAGGCCAACATTTTTATAACTCCTAAACTTCTTAATCAACGATAGCAATAAGTACTAAAAATTCCTTGTCCACTCAATAAACGTTGAAGCAGCACTTCAAATGCCGGTGATAAAATTTACTCCTTAGTACTCGTAAATAAATAGATACGTATAAGTTAACTTTACGTCTTCTTGTTGTCACCTTGCACTTTTCCGCATTACGCCTTTTCCACGGCTATTTACTTTGTATATTTTATCTGGCCATAAATGTTGATTGGCTTAATACACTTGTGATTCGATGGCGCCCAACAGTTCCACTTTGACTCCAATTTCCTTTTTCTTTCTTTATTTCCTCACCTAGTTGAGTGCATTTCTTCTGCCATTCATTGCAATGGGTATCTCACTGGCCGCCTAAAGTGGAATAGCATTTCTTCTGTAGAAATTATGCAGCAATCGATTTTACTAAAGAGATTTATTCTTGAAGCAGTTATTGTGTTTGGGAGGTGTTTGTATAAAATAAAAAATTTAGAATTTATGTAAGGCGAAGAGAATCAAAAAATAGTTTTATTCGGCGCGTTTCTAAGGCGTTACAGTTTACCTCAACTGCTGCTAAAATATTGACAACTGTTGAGTCCAACAGTTACGTCCAGTGTAACCAAAATGTTGCCTAAAAAGTATACAAAAGTATTCACTTTTTTTTTGTTTTAAGTATCCACGTATCAATGTGAAATTAAAAACCTACACGGTGCAGTAAAAATGCATATTTTTCAATGAATTTGTGATATATTTAATATTTTTAATTTTTTGGCATTTTTAAGCATTCAATTTAAGTCGCACATTTTCATGTGTAATTTTAATACTAAAATTAAAATTTTTAGATAAATTTGAGGCCGCTGAACCAGAATATAAATCCATTTAATAAAAAAAAAATTGTTTTCAAGATATAAGCAAAAGTCATGTTTTCTAGGACCTTTCGGTCCTGTTGCTGGAAATCTGCGGGAATGTTACGCGAACCCAAATAGGTTATGTATTTCGAAATAAACATTTGTTTTCCTCTAAATGCATGTCTCAAGTCGCTAAAAATTACCGTTGATTTTTTAGAATTGTTTTGTGGAGGGTGTTGCGGATTGTTTTTTCATATAAAAACAAAATTTTCATCATGTGTTACATGGAAGAAAATGCGCAACACCCTCCACAAAAAAAATTCTAAAAAATCA